TGTTTGAGAGGGTACCCTCAAGACACACATATCACTTACAGTTTTTTAGAAATTATATTCACTATTAGACTACATGCACAAGTATTCTACTCATTCTAAAAATCAAATGTGTTATTATATTTATCAACGGAACCCGTTGATAAATTGGAGGGTCGATGAATACTAGCGTTTCTCGCAGGATGGATTAATAAACGGCAATAAGTGTCAGGACGACTTTACCTGCCAAACAGTTATTACTAGAGGGGTCGGCTGAGGTTTGTGTCACACACCAGCTCTGGCAATCGTCATTCGATCACAAAGACTTTACTCGTTCGGTCGCGAATTTCTTTTGCCCATTTTTAGTGAATTTCCTACCAAAAAAACAATTCATCATGTTCAAAATCTATATTGTCATATCGGTTGCAGTGCTATCGCTTTGGTTGGACATTGGTACCGCCACGGGTGGATCTCGGCTTCAACACGAATATACTCACGACGACTATGTTTATGCCGTGCTATCAGCAAACGTTGTCAACTTTACCATCGTCGATAAAAACCAATACGTCGAAATTACATTGTTAGTAGAAGGCGTAGGTCTCACGAAAGATGTAATGGTGCGTACGACTTCAGCTTTTAAGGGGCGTGGATCATTATGCTTCACAGATCAACAATATAAGTATGCCGACTCCGAGAGAAACTCGTTTGAAATAGTAAGTCCGACATTTATGTTTTTAATACTTCGAATATGAATAATATCGGCTTGTACATTTTTTAAATACCATCGTACCCGTGGAGCATTACTTTTAACAAAACAATTCCAGTTAGTTTAATACTGATATATTCTGTTCGTTCATATAGTATAAGATATAAAAATGTGTCAAAATTGTTTTTAGTCAGTAGTTTCGTTAGGTCTAGTTTAGATGACAATTGTATTGATAAAATACGTTGGTATAAGCTTTAAACACTTGGTCGTACTGTTAAACGTAAAAATGCTATGCTTGTGCGTTACGTTTTTTTTATTATTTTGAAAAAAAAATCAAAAATTAATTCTAAAAAGTCGCTAAAGGTTAAAAACATTTTTTATAATTCATATTCTATTGAATATGAATCATTATAGGTGACGTCTTATTGTAACAAAAGAAAATATAACATTTGTATAAGATATTAGGCCCTCATATCTCGTCAGTTGCCTTCGCCCTATCCTTTATAAATAAATAAATATATAAAAATATATATATATATGAATATTAATTGTAATACCCTTAATGATTTTTAGTTGCAAGCAAATGGTACACGAATGTATTTAACCAACAAGTTGAAGATCGATGAAAATGTCGTGGAAGGAAAGTTGTTCCTGTGCCTTAACAGACCACGGTTATCGACCAGAAATTCGTCACATGGTCGTTGGGTACATCAGGGTGATTTTGGTTGGATCGTCTGGCCTGTACCACCGATGTATCTGTTTCGTAGATATGCATACGAAGTGTGAGTATGTTATAGATAAACTTTACATATCGTTAGTAGTATTTCACTAATGAGTGAAATAGTAACGCATTAAGTTACTTAAGGAATATTAAATAATTACCAAGTTCAAATAATATCTTCCTGTTTTGGTGATAATTATTTGTTGATCAAGAAAAATTTAACTTCCCGTAAAGATAATTGCGCAAAATCCGTGACTTCGATTCTACAATGCTGGCTATTTTATTATTTCAATTTATATTGAAAATAGACGACTATTATTTAAGACAATTTTTTATTTTAATTTTCATTTCCATACCCGTTATTCAGCCTAATCCCCTAGGACTGAACCTGGGCAATTTTTATTTAAATAACAAGTTGTTTGAAATTATTACTTGAACATTGTATTTGTTAATATAATGCTCAGGTTCGATTGCAATATTCGTGCACCGATGGTAATCATTAATCTTGATTAAATAATTGTCGGTTTACAGCACCGAACCTGCAAGTGAATCTAACTCATTTGAGACAACAACGAGCGACTATGGAAAAAAATACAAACATCGCGGTAACAAGTTACAATTTTTTAAATGACACGGCTTGGTCCTATACAAAAACGAACCGGACGAACACTTTAGTCACCGGTAATGGCCTCAGGTGCAAATTCCTCGTCAAAGCCGTTAAAAAGGTAGACTTTTTTTACGCTCGAGTCTCGTTCTGTCAAACATCAGAAAACTATCAGATTCTATACATTATATAAACTCATATATGTTTTTTACAATCACCTTTTTTCAGCCAAACTTATTGGACGACTACAGCCAGACGGAACCCTCAAACCTTCAGCGTGAAACAGTTTATTTATGTGAGCACTAGTCGGCCGTAGCGGATAAATACAGAAAAAGCGATAATAGATGTAAGTAAAGGTTTTAGGTTTTCTTTTCGTTTTAGCTGTAACTGTCCATTTTATTTGACGTTTTACAATTATTTCTCTAGCCTTAAGTGTTCTTCAGGCGGTTAACTACTTCAAAATGATTTGTGAATTTAAAAAAAAAATTAACGAATTTTAGTAATTATTTAAAAGTGTAAACAATTTAAAAATCAAAATAGAAGAAGAAAAGGGGGTTTAAAAATACCGTTTATGCACCTTTATTTTACACAGCTGATTAATAATATAGCTTCTTGATGACACTTCATCTTTCGACTATTCACTGAACAATTTTTTTTTTTTCAAAACGCCGAAAATTTTTAATAATGCTAATTATGCCTGTACTCGAATTGCATCCAAATTTAGTTGTTTGAGAGGGTACCCTCAAGACACACATATCACTTACAGTTTTTTAGAAATTATATTCACTATTAGACTACATGCACAAGTATTCTACTCATTCTAAAAATCAAATGTGTTATTATATTTATCAACGGAACCCGTTGATAAATTGGAGGGTCGATGAATACTAGCGTTTCTCGCAGGATGGATTAATAAACGGCAATAAGTGTCAGGACGACTTTACCTGCCAAACAGTTATTACTAGAGGGGTCGGCTGAGGTTTGTGTCACACACCAGCTCTGGCAATCGTCATTCGATCACAAAGACTTTACTCGTTCGGTCGCGAATTTCTTTTGCCCATTTTTAGTGAATTTCCTACCAAAAAAACAATTCATCATGTTCAAAATCTATATTGTCATATCGGTTGCAGTGCTATCGCTTTGGTTGGACATTGGTACCGCCACGGGTGGATCTCGGCTTCAACACGAATATACTCACGACGACTATGTTTATGCCGTGCTATCAGCAAACGTTGTCAACTTTACCATCGTCGATAAAAACCAATACGTCGAAATTACATTGTTAGTAGAAGGCGTAGGTCTCACGAAAGATGTAATGGTGCGTACGACTTCAGCTTTTAAGGGGCGTGGATCATTATGCTTCACAGATCAACAATATAAGTATGCCGACTCCGAGAGAAACTCGTTTGAAATAGTAAGTCCGACATTTATGTTTTTAATACTTCGAATATGAATAATATCGGCTTGTACATTTTTTAAATACCATCGTACCCGTGGAGCATTACTTTTAACAAAACAATTCCAGTTAGTTTAATACTGATATATTCTGTTCGTTCATATAGTATAAGATATAAAAATGTGTCAAAATTGTTTTTAGTCAGTAGTTTCGTTAGGTCTAGTTTAGATGACAATTGTATTGATAAAATACGTTGGTATAAGCTTTAAACACTTGGTCGTACTGTTAAACGTAAAAATGCTATGCTTGTGCGTTACGTTTTTTTTATTATTTTGAAAAAAAAAATCAAAAATTAATTCTAAAAAGTCGCTAAAGGTTAAAAACATTTTTTATAATTCATATTCTATTGAATATGAATCATTATAGGTGACGTCTTATTGTAACAAAAGAAAATATAACATTTGTATAAGATATTAGGCCCTCATATCTCGTCAGTTGCCTTCGCCCTATCCTTTATAAATAAATAAATATATAAAAATATATATATATATGAATATTAATTGTAATACCCTTAATGATTTTTAGTTGCAAGCAAATGGTACACGAATGTATTTAACCAACAAGTTGAAGATCGATGAAAATGTCGTGGAAGGAAAGTTGTTCCTGTGCCTTAACAGACCACGGTTATCGACCAGAAATTCGTCACATGGTCGTTGGGTACATCAGGGTGATTTTGGTTGGATCGTCTGGCCTGTACCACCGATGTATCTGTTTCGTAGATATGCATACGAAGTGTGAGTATGTTATAGATAAACTTTACATATCGTTAGTAGTATTTCACTAATGAGTGAAATAGTAACGCATTAAGTTACTTAAGGAATATTAAATAATTACCAAGTTCAAATAATATCTTCCTGTTTTGGTGATAATTATTTGTTGATCAAGAAAAATTTAACTTCCCGTAAAGATAATTGCGCAAAATCCGTGACTTCGATTCTACAATGCTGGCTATTTTATTATTTCAATTTATATTGAAAATAGACGACTATTATTTAAGACAATTTTTTATTTTAATTTTCATTTCCATACCCGTTATTCAGCCTAATCCCCTAGGACTGAACCTGGGCAATTTTTATTTAAATAACAAGTTGTTTGAAATTATTACTTGAACATTGTATTTGTTAATATAATGCTCAGGTTCGATTGCAATATTCGTGCACCGATGGTAATCATTAATCTTGATTAAATAATTGTCGGTTTACAGCACCGAACCTGCAAGTGAATCTAACTCATTTGAGACAACAACGAGCGACTATGGAAAAAAATACAAACATCGCGGTAACAAGTTACAATTTTTTAAATGACACGGCTTGGTCCTATACAAAAACGAACCGGACGAACACTTTAGTCACCGGTAATGGCCTCAGGTGCAAATTCCTCGTCAAAGCCGTTAAAAAGGTAGACTTTTTTTACGCTCGAGTCTCGTTCTGTCAAACATCAGAAAACTATCAGATTCTATACATTATATAAACTCATATATGTTTTTTACAATCACCTTTTTTCAGCCAAACTTATTGGACGACTACAGCCAGACGGAACCCTCAAACCTTCAGCGTGAAACAGTTTATTTATGTGAGCACTAGTCGGCCGTAGCGGATAAATACAGAAAAAGCGATAATAGATGTAAGTAAAGGTTTTAGGTTTTCTTTTCGTTTTAGCTGTAACTGTCCATTTTATTTGACGTTTTACAATTATTTCTCTAGCCTTAAGTGTTCTTCAGGCGGTTAACTACTTCAAAATGATTTGTGAATTTAAAAAAAAAATTAACGAATTTTAGTAATTATTTAAAAGTGTAAACAATTTAAAAATCAAAATAGAAGAAGAAAAGGGGGTTTAAAAATACCGTTTATGCACCTTTATTTTATACAGCTGATTAATAATATAGCTTCTTGATGACACTTCATCTTTCGACTATTCACTGAACAATTTTTTTTTTTCAAAACGCCGAAAATTTTTAATAATGCTAATTATGCCTGTACTCGAATTGCATCCAAATTTAGTTGTTTGAGAGGGTACCCTCAAGACACACATATCACTTACAGTTTTTTAGAAATTCTATTCACTATTAGACTACATGCACAAGTATTCTACTCATTCTAAAAATCAATTGTGTTATTATATTTATCAACGGAACCCGTTGATAAATTGGAGGGTCGATGAATACTAGCGTTTCTCGCAGGATGGATTAATAAACGGCAATAAGTGTCAGGACGACTTTGCCTGCCAAACAGTTATTACTAGAGGGGTCGGCTGAGGTTTGTGTCACACACCAGCTCTGGCAATCGTCATTCGATCACAAAGACTTTACTCGTTCGGTCGCGAATTTCTTTTGCCCATTTTTAGTGAATTTCCTACCAAAAAAACAATTCATCATGTTCAAAATCTATATTGTCATATCGGTTGCAGTGCTATCGCTTTGGTTGGACATTGGTACCGCCACGGGTGGATCTCGGCTTCAACACGAATATACTCACGACGACTATGTTTATGCCGTGCTATCAGCAAACGTTGTCAACTTTACCATCGTCGATAAAAACCAATACGTCGAAATTACATTGTTAGTAGAAGGCGTAGGTCTCACGAAAGATGTAATGGTGCGTACGACTTCAGCTTTTAAGGGGCGTGGATCATTATGCTTCACAGATCAACAATATAAGTATGCCGACTCCGAGAGAAACTCGGATTGTACAATATCGGCTTGTACATTTTTTAAATACCATCGTACCCGTGGAGCATTACTTTTAACAAAACAATTCCAGTTAGTTTAATACTGATATATTCTGTTCGTTCATATAGTATAAGTTATAAAAATGTGTCAAAATTGTTTTTAGTCAGTAGTTTCGTTAGATCTAGTTTAGGTGACAATTGTATTGATAAAACACGTTGGTATAAGCTTTAAACACTTGGTCGTACTGTTAAACGTAAAAATGCTATGCTTGTGCGTTACGTTTTTTTAATTATTTTGAAAAAAAAAATCAAAAATTATTTCTAAAAAGTAGCTAAAGGTTAAAAACATTTTTTATAATTCATATTCTATTGAATATGAATCATTATAGTTGACGTCTTATTGTAACAAAAGAAAATATAACATTTGTATAAGATATTAGGCCCTCATATCTCGTCAGTTGCCTTCGCCCTATCCTTTATAAATAAATAAATATATAAAAATATATATATATATGAATATTAATTGTAATACCCTTAATGATTTTTAGTTGCAAGCAAATGGTACACGAATGTATTTAACCAACAAGTTGAAGATCGATGAAAATGTCGTGGAAGGAAAGTTGTTCCTGTGCCTTAACAGACCACGGTTATCGACCAAAAATTCGTCACATGGTCGTTGGGTACATCAGGGTGATTTTGGTTGGATCGTCTGGCCTGTACCACCGATGTATCTGTTTCGTAGATATGCATACGAAGTGTGAGTATGTTATAGATAAACTTTACATATCGTTAGTAGTATTTCACTAATGAGTGAAATAGTAACGCATTAAGTTACTTAAGGAATATTAAATAATTACCAAGTTCAAATAATATCTTCCTGTTTTGGTGATAATTATTTGTTGATCAAGAAAAATTTAACTTCCGTAAAGATAATTGCGCAAAATCCGTGACTTCGATTCTACAATGCTGGCTATTTTATTATTTCAATTTATATTGAAAATAGACGACTATTATTTAAGACAATTTTTTATTTTAATTTTCATTTCCATACCCGTTATTCAGCCTAATCCCCTAGGACTGAACCTGGGCAATATTTATTTAAATAACAAGTTGTTTGAAATTATTACTTGAACATTGTATTTGTTAATATAATGCTCAGGTTCGATTGCAATATTCGTGCACCGATGGTAATCATTAATCTTGATTAAATAATTGTCGGTTTACAGCACCGAACCTGCAAGTGAATCTAACTCATTTGAGACAACAACAAGCGACTATGGAAAAAAATACAAACATCGCGGTAACAAGTTACATTTTTTAAATGACACGGCTTGGTCCTATACAAAAACGAACCGGACGAACACTTTAGTCACCGGTAATGGCCTCAGGTGCAAATTCCTCGTCAAAGCCGTTAAAAAGGTAGACTTTTTTTACGCTCGAGTCTCGTTCTGTCAAACATCAGAAAACTATCAGATTCTATACATTATATAAACTCATATATGTTTTTTACAATCACCTTTTTTCAGCCAAACTTATTGGACGACTACAGCAAGACGGAACCCTCAAACCTTCAGCGTGAAACTCCAGTTAGTTTAATACTGATATATTCTGTTCGTTCATATAGTATAAGATATAAAAATGTGTCAAAATTGTTTTTAGTCAGTAGTTTCGTTAGGTCTAGTTTAGATGACAATTGTATTGATAAAATACGTTGGTATAAGCTTTAAACACTTGGTCGTACTGTTAAACGTAAAAATGCTATGCTCGTGCGTTACGTTTTTTTTATTATTTTGAAAAAAAAAATCAAAAATTAATTCTAAAAAGTCGCTTAAGGTTAAAAACATTTTTTATAATTCATATTCTATTGAATATGAATCATTATAGTTGACGTCTTATTGTAACAAAAGAAAATATAACATTTGTATAAGATATTAGGCCCTCATATCTCGTCAGTTGCCTTCGCCCTATCCTTTATAAATAAATAAATATATAAAAATATATATAGTGATATTATTTTAAAAAAATAAAAAATAATAAAATTGTTAACGACACTAAGTAATGTAATTAAAATTTACAATAAGGTAAACGAATAAAATCAATAAAATAAAAGTTATTAAAGTTTAGATCCGTAAACACCGGTCGTATAAAATTAAATGTATTTAAGCGCACAAAAGAAAAAGAAAATAAAAAGAGATAAATTGAAGTTAAGTACGATGATTCTCGACGCGAAGTTCTGTTGATAAAAGTAGTGTAGTGAACAGGGCGATGAGAACGACTGATCGTGAGACGCTCCTGTATCTAGCGAGAGTCACGGCTACTGGCTTATCGGTAAACAGAAGTGTTTACCAAGCATTTCATTGTCTTTTCCCATCGGGTGGCAGCATCTGATTAAATTCTTTTTCAGTATTTACTCCGTGTTTCTTCAAAGTAAAAAATTCAATGTTTGTATTGAACTCTTTGTCCTTTTCTAGTTTCTGTAGTTCGTCTCTAATTTGTACATCGTTAGGTTTTATTTTTTTTGGCGTGCAAAAGTTTCTCTTTAGCATCGGCAAAACTTTTAAGCAAACGTAAAGCTTTACCCCAAGTATAATGCAATTTGGCATTGTGTTTAGAATAACGATCGGCATATTGTCTTTTCCCATCAAACGCGTTGCTACTGCCTGGGAAAATTTCATTGTCCCTATCAAATTTCGCTTTGGTAATTTATTCGTTATGATTGAAAAAAAAATAATATTGTAGCGTACATATAGCGTGAGAATTATTTTTTATTTAATAAAGATAAGAAATTAACGGCTTTGTGCCGAACAAAATTAGGGAAGTGCTGAAAGTGAAAGTAGAATGATATAAAATTATTAATTTATTAATTTTCCCGAGAGTTGTATGGCTTGATTTGGTCTACATGGACTGGTGCATCCACCAGTTGGCCATGTTTTGGTAACTTAACTAAATAGCTGTAAGGGCCTAACTTCTTCATTACTTCATAGGGGCCTTCGTAGCGATTAGAGAACTTATTGTCACGTACAGGGACTTTTACCAAAATTTTTTCACCTATGTTATATGAAATATTATTATCCAAATTAGTTTTCTTCAAATCAGACTTTAACGCTGCATTTTTTTATAATTTCTGGTAATGTTTTCCTAACATGCTTTATCTTATCTATTTCTGATATAATGTTTTCATCGGTGGGTGGTATAAGCGCGATATCGTAAATGCTTTTCGGGTTATACGCGTGCAATAAATAGTGCGGTGTATATTGCGTTATTTCATGCTTGGAAGTGTTATAAGCGAAAACTATATAAGGTAGATAGTCAACCCACTTATTATTTTCTTGTACGTACGGTGCTAACATGTCAATTAAAGTTTGGTTCTGCCTCTCTACTTGGCCTTGCGAAGTCGGTTTGAAAGGTATTCCGAATTTCTTATCAATGTGTAGGGCTTCTAAAAGCTCAACCACTACTTTTGCAGAAAAATGTGTACCGTTGTCACTTCGAACGATTTTCATTGGGCCGTACTTTAATATGAATTCTAATAGAAATTTAACTGTGGACCTAGCGTTTGCGTGCTGATAAGCTTTGGCTACACAATATTTAGATACGCGATCAGTAGCGACTAAAATGTATTTATTTCCCCTTGAACTTTGTAGTGGTCCTACGTAATCCAAATAAACTTCTTGCATAACCTCCCCTTTATCCAACGGATAATGCCCTATCTTAGGTGGTTTAGGCTGTTTATGGGGTTTTCGTTTTTGGCACGCGGAACAAGATAAAACATAATTTTTAATGTCTTTGCGCATCTTAGGCCAAAAATATTTTTCTTTTATTTTAGTATAAGTCCTACTAAAACCTAAATGCGCGCTTAGGGGACTATCATGATTCTCCCTAATAATATCATTAATATATTTGCCAGGTAATGCCAATGTTAATTTATTGGAATTTGTATAATTCGACTTATAGTA